ATCACTTTCTTTTGAAATACTTTCTATACATTTTATTTTTCCCATTTTCTGCTGAAAAAATACATTCATTAAATTAAATATGAAAAAAAAATAAATTGTTATTAATTAGGGCTCAAGTAAAAATACTAACTTCTTTTTTCAGACTACTTTTGCAAACTGAACATTTTTGTTTACTCAAATTAGGATTCTTATATCCAAACATCAAGGACTTGACACCTTTTCGCCTTTTCCAATTATCAAGCCAACCATCACTAGCGACAAAATCTTTTTTACCACCAAGTTCATCATTCAAACGCAGAGCTTCGCACTTTAAAATAGGTCCTGATATAGGCAAGCGTTTTCTTCTTGCTTTCAGGTACCATTTGTGCAAAGCATCATCAACGTCTGGATTACCTACTATTATTTTCTTTTTCGTATTGCATAATTTTCTGTCCTTACAATTTTTTTCAATTAGTTCTCGCTGTTTTTTCCACTTACGCACAGTGAATTCATTTACATGAAAGTTTTTACAAACTGTAATCATGCTGTTATTCTCTAGTTGCTGTAATATTTTTAATTTTTCTTTAAATGAAAAACGTCTTCTCGTTAAAACTGGCTTTTTCTGTGTGTTCTGATTTATTCCGATGTCTGGAATTTTTTCAGCAATTTTATCAGCTGGTTGATCATTAAGATTTTCGGTTGAAGGTTCAGTCATTTTTAATACTGTAGAATTAAAAAAATTTATATTAATTATATGAGTTAACTTGAATACAAAATTAATAAAAAAAAAAAAATATTTTTTTTAATTAGTTTTCATAAAAAAAAAAAATAATGACACTTAAATTAGCACACTTAACAATTTTTTAATTTTTCTTCAAAAAAAAAAAACTAGGTCTAGAAAAACATTTTTTAAAAATGACATTAAAGTTAGCAGTCACTTGACAATTTTTTAATTTTATTTAACAAAAAAATTTGTTCCAAAATTTATTTTTAAAAAAATTGCATTTTTTATTTTTTAAATCGTTCATGTCAATTTTTTTGCCAGAATTTGTTATAAAATTATTAAATATATGTGCTAAATTTATTTTCATTATTAGATTAATAATTTTTTAAAGCTTCTAAAGGTAAAATTTTTTTAATAAAATTTTCTCACTATAATTTATTAAATAGTTTCTAAAAATTATTAAATGTTTTTAAATTTAAGTATCACAAAAAAATAATAAATTTTTAACGTTCTAATTAAATATAAAAAAAAAAATTAGCAGATTAATATTTAAAAAATTTATATCAATTTAAACTTTAAATAAAAATTTTGTTTTTTAATTGAAGTTTGAAAAAAGTTATTAAAAAAATATGTCAAATGTCTGACACTTCCACTTTGTCTATAATTAAATAACAATTATAATAATTTACCTCAATTAAAAACAAAAAAAAATAACATATATTATATATGTACATCAATCCATGAATATAAACAAAAATAATTGCGGCGTTATTTTCTGCCAAGCAGTTGTTATTTTTTTGTATATACTTACAAGAAAATCAGCTGATGAAAGTCGACTCAAGCGCCACCTAGTCTCTCCGCATTTAATTCTTATTTCTTATTCAATAACATATCATTCTCTCTCGCTCAAACATGTGTGCCCTCTGATCTAAAAGTCTGAGCATGAGGGAGATAAAACTTGTGTTCTATAACAAGATTAATATGGAAAGTAAATTACAAATAACAACACCGATCAGAATTTCCAGTACCAAGTTTTTCTCTTACTGAGTTCATCATGAATTTTTTTTTT